GGGGGAAGGCACTGGGGGTTTTATGGACAAAAATAGGAAAAAGTTAAAAGCAGGTGGGGGGTATAGTTTTTTTGGGGTGGTTGGTGCTATTATTTAAAAATGTTGGAAGAGGGTAAGGTAAATAGGGGTTGGCAGAGAGCTGCCTAGTTCCTTTGTATAAAGGCAAAGGGGAAAAAAAGGAGTGCAAAAAATTATAGGGGGATAAGTCTGTTGAATTTTACCTGTAAAGTGTAAAGGCAGATTTTTTTTTTGAAAGAATTAAGATAAGATGCAGAAAAAGGGTAGCAGATGAAAAAAAAGGCTTTTTTGGAAAAGGGGGGGTTTGTGGACCCCGGTGTTTACAGTGAAACATATAAGTGAAAATTAAATTTAAATAAAGGGAAAAAGGTTTTTGTTTCATTTAGGGGTCTGGAAAAAAGGGGATGACGAGTGGGATAGGGGGGGAATGTGGCATTGTTTCAAGTGTAAAAGGTGTAGGGGGGGGTAGATTAAATGAAAGCAGGAAGGGAAATTTTTTGAGGGAAAGGGGGGCCCCCAAGTAAGTATGTTTGGAAAGGGGGGAGATTATTTCCCATAAAAAAATAGGCCTTAGACAAGGATGTGTGATGTCACCGTGGTTGTTTAATATATTTATAGATGGGTTTGTAAGAGAAGTAAATGCGAGGGTCTGGGCAAGAGGCGTGGAGTTAAAAGATAAAGAATCACACATAAAGTGGGAGTTGTCACAGTTGCTCTTTGCTGATGACACTGCTCTTGGGAGATTCTGAAGAGAAGTTGCAGAGGTTGGTGGATGAATTTGGTAGGGTATGCAAAAGAAGAAAATTAAAAGTGAATACAGGAAAGAGTAAGGTTATGAGGATAACAAAAAGATTAGGTGATGAAAGATTGAATATCAGATTGGAGGGAGAGAGTAAGGAGGAGGTGAATGTATTCAGATATTTGGGAATGGACATGTCAGCGGATGGGTCTTTGAAAGATGAGGTGAATCATAGAATTGATGAGGGGAAAATGGTGAGCGGTGCACTTAGGAGTCTGTGGAGACAAAGAACTTTGTCCTTGGAGGCAAAGAGGGGAATGAATGAGAGTATAGTTTTACCAATGCTCTTATATGGGTGTGAAGCATGGGTGATGAATATTGCAGCGAGGAGAAGGCTGGAGGCAATGGAGATGTCATGTCTGAGAGCAATGTGTGGTGTGAATATAATGCAGAGAATTCGTAGTTTGGAAGTTAGGAGGAGGTGCGGGATTGCCAAAACTGTTGTCCAGAAGGCTGAGGAAGGGTTGTTGAGGTGGTTCGGACATGTAGAGAGAATGGAGCGAAACAGAATGACTTCAAGAGTGTATCAGTTTGTAGTGGAAGGAAGGCGGGGTAGGGGTCGGCCTAGGAAAGGTTGGAGGGAGGGGGTAGAGGAGGTTTTGTGTGCGAGGGTCTTGGACTTCCAGCGGGCATGCATGAGCATGTTTGATAGGAGTGAATGGAGACAAATAATTTTTAATACTTGACGTGCTGTTGGAGTGTGAGCAAAGTAACATTTATGAAGGGATTCAGGGAAACTGGCAGGCCGGACTTGAGTCCTGGAGATGGGAAGTACAGTGTCTGCACTCTGAAGGAGGGGTGTTAATGTTGCAGTTTAAAAACTGTAGTGTAAAGCACCCTTCTGGCAAGACAGTGATGAAGTGAATGATGGTGAAAGTTTTTCTTTTTTGGGCCACCCTGCCTTGGTGGGAATCGGCCAGTGTGTTAATAAAAAAAAATAATAGTATGCCTAAATTCCAGTGCCTTCAAATCTAGTGAGAGAAAGTTGGTAGGCCCACATATGAAAGAATGGGTCTATGTGGTCAGTGTGCACAGTATAAAAAAATCCTGCAGCACACAGTGCGTAATGAGAAAAAAATAACTTTGACCGTGTTTTGGATTAAAATAGCAACTTTGCACTGTATTTTCGTATGGTATTTATAGTTGTATTCTAGTTTTCCTGGTCTCATTTTATAGAATGGAAGACATATTACAGAAATTGAGATGATTTTGATTGGTTTCACAATGAAAACTACCTTGATATTGAGCTCAAAATAGCAGAAATGTTCGATTTTTACCAAAAGTTCAAAAGTAAACAAATCATGCCAAGCGTCCAATACATGTCAACTGGTGACTCTAATATTCTTTCACAAATGCGCTGATATTATTTATACCATTTCTACACTAATGCAGTAGTCTGCATAACAGTAAATCTTCTATTTTGTTGTGAGAATATTCAAAGTGTAAAGTAAAAGAAATGTAAGAGGGGCCTGGGGACATGACTAATGAACAGAGAAAATGTTATTTTAGTGCCAGGAATGTCTGTCTTGTTTATTCTGGACCCTATTTGGAAATTGGCAGCTTCTGAAATTTGTGTGAAATTGGCAAAATTGCCAATTTCTAATCACTTTATTGGATAGTTGAAATTGGTAAATAGGTGGTTTCTTGTACTCATTCGATACAAAAAATAGAGTTCCAGCGAAATAAATATTTGTTTTGTCGACTAGTACACAGGAATTGGCTAAAAATAGGGCTCAAATTGGGTGAAATTGCCGATGCTTAAACATCGTTGAGACCGCTAACTTCGTGAGAGCATAATTCCGTAAGTTTTCCATAAAATTTCACACTTTTGGTGTCATTATGATCGGGAAAAGATTCTCTATCATTTTATAAGAAACAGTTTTTTTTTTTTCCTGAAAAATTTTCGACCCTGAGAACGAGTTTAGGAGAGGGCCTCTCGACCCTGAATGGGTTAAAGTGTGCTGTACCACTGCAGGGCATACCTGTAGGGTATTCCGATGGCCAATGCCCCCACAGCTCGGCCCATGATCAGGTCTCCGGTCCATAGCACAGTTAACCCTTAAACTTTCCAAATGTAGATCTACATTCACATGTGTAGTACTCCGAACATAGTTCTATGTTTTTTTTACATGCTTTCAAATGGAGAAAATAAAGGTCAGAGCGCTACACACATGAACGCAGATCTATGTTTGGACAGTTTAAGGGTTAGAGGTTAGACTGTACATACAGGGCTATCTATTTATGCAATCAATGAGTGGGGAACCAGGAGAACATGACATTCAGTTACTCAGCACACAGTTATGAGAGCATCTGCTTTATAACCACATTAACCCTTTGACTGCTGCAACCCCAAATCCTGAAGTGTCTCCTGGTGTCACAAAATATTTGGAAAAAAAAAAATTATTTTTTTTTTATGAAATGACAGAATCTTTTCATGATGATGATGACACCAAAAGTAAGAATTTTCATGGAAAACTTACAGAATTACACTCTTGCGAAGTTAGTGATCTTGGCAACATTTACGCATCAGCAATTTCACCCACTTTGAGCCCTATTTTCGGCCAATTCCATTGTTCCAGTCCACCAAACTCAGAGCTATTTCTTTAAAACTCTATTTGTTCCATCGATTGAGTACAAGAAACCGCCTATTTACTGAATTCAACTACCCAATAAAGTGGTCAGAAATTGGCAATTTGGCCAATTTCACGCAAATTAAAATACGTATGTCAATTTCAAAACAGAGTCCAGAATGAACAGTGCAGACATTCCTGGCTCTAAAATAACATTTTCTTTGTTCATCAGTCATGTCTCCAGGCCCCTCTGATATTACTCTTGCTTTCTATTTTGAATTTTTATTCAAACAAAAAATAGAAGATTTACTGTTACGCAGACTACTGCAATATTGTAATAATTGTATAAATAATGTCAACCCATTTGTGACTGTGTATCAGAATGGCTAGTTGGACATTTATTGGCCAATGACATCATTTGTTTACTCTTGAACATCGGCAAAAATCAAACGTTTCCCCTATTTTGAGCTCCATTTCAAGGTTCCTTTCATAGTAAAGCCAATCAAAATCACCTCTACTTCTATAATATGTTTTCCATTCTATCAAATGTGACTACAAAAACGAGCATATAACCATAAAAACTATATGAAAATACACCTCAAAGTTGGCGTTTTAATCCAAAAACACGGTTGGAGTTTTTTTTTCTCATTATGCGCTGCGTGCTGCAGGATTTTTTTTTATATTGCGCACATTGACCACACAGACCCATTCTCTAACATGTGGGCCTACCAGCTTTCTCCTGCTTGATTTGAAGCCACTAGAATTTTTGAGTATATATACATCAAACACACTGGCTCGTAAGACGTGTACATATATACGACCAAAACAGTCAAAAGGTTAATATTTCTTTTTCTCGACATGCCAGCCTCATCCCACTGAGGCAGGGTGACCTAAAAAAATCAAAAGTTTTTTGTTTTAAATTTAGTAATATATACAGGAGAAGGGGTTACTAGCTCCTTGCTCCCAGCATATTAGTTTCCTTTTATGACACTCATGGCTTACAGAAGAATTCTGTTCCATTTCCCTATAGAGTAAGAGAATATTTTCCACTACAAATTATAAGCCCTTTCCACTGCACCAATTGGGTTTCTGCATCCTGTGTCACTCACTAGTTATTCAACCAGCTGTCGATTTTTTATGCAATTTTCAATAAGGCATTTGAAATCTTGAAGACAAAACAAATAACCCACACAGGAGAATGAAATTTACGACCGCATCTCCGTCCAACTTGGACGATTAACCAGTCATGTGACTTGTTAATAATAATAATAATAATAATAATAATGTTTATTTTGACATGATATGTGGTTGTACAAACGAATAAAATAGTTGAGTGTACATACCAAAAGCTCCTTCGTGTGCAGAGCATTTTGGGCAAACTTAAAATTAACTTAAGTTGGACCGAAACATCATCCTAAGTTTTTTTTTCCATGTGGGGCTATTTGTTTATTGTTCCAGTTACAGTATTATGCCTTTTTATTGTTTGGTGGGCAAAAATTGAGGCAGTAAAACAAAACAAAACAAAAAAAGAATAGAACGAGTGTAGTAGAATATTATTTTGTAAAATAAAGTTGAGGAGTGCTAGGGAGCACCAAGCAAATGAAAATGCCTACCTTGGTCCAGATTTTTATCGATGTAGCTGGGAAGCTTGGGCGTTGGCTCCAGCTCTGGGGGATGCTGGTAACAAGCCAGTGAGGCCAGGCCACATTGCTGCCGTGCTCTGACGGCTTCGCCCACCACCTGTGTAGGGGGTTATGGGTTATTTAGTATTAGTGGATTAGTAACGTTGTTCGTGTCGTCTGTGGCACAGTTACGCCAGTTAGTAATGCAACATTAGTGCCATCGTACTGCAGTTTAGTTTCAATAAATGCAAGTTGAGCTGCAGAAGCCAAACTGAAAAATACTTGAATAATCATGTACAGTATAAAGCTGTTGTTTTTTCAATGCACAAGCCATCTCCCACTGAGGTAGCGTGACTCAAAAAAAAGAGGAAACACTTTCACCATCATTCACTCCATCACTGACTTTTTTTGGGTTATCCTAGGTAAATTACACTATGATAATTGTACTTATGTGTACCTGTACCTATATAAACTTACTGTCTTGCCAGAGGGGCTTTGATCTATGACTCAAAACTACAAATATCCCCACCCCTCCTTCAGAGTGCAGGCACTCTACTTCCCACCACCAGGGCTCAAGTCCAGAGTACAAAATTAAAGGTATGTATGTATTTGGTACATGTGTCTGACTTTATTTGGCTATCCTGGTGGGTAATTTACACAATGTATCATAACTGTACGCATGTGTAACTGTGCCTAAATAAACTTACACAAGAGGGAGCCTGGAGATCTGATACTTATTAAGCACAGTGTCATAATATAAATTAGCCTTTACTATTTTTTTTATTAACACGCTGGCCATTTCCCACCAAGGGAAGGTGACCCAGAAAAGAAGAAACACTTTCATCATCATTTACTCCATCACTCTCTTGCCAGAGGTGCATTTACACTACAGTTATAAAACTGCAACTTATCAACATCCCTCCTTCAGTTATATTAAGATTATTATATTCATGGGGGAAATACTAAACCTGCAGGAGTCATAAAGCACATAGGGAATGGGAGGTAATCAGGTTTGACTCAAGGGGATGGTAGCTTCAATTCCTTGAAATCAAAGACCTTTCACCAGCATCAAGACATTTTTAATTGTCATTTTGAAGTGGAATTCTTTACCTGTGTGAATACACAAGATTTTTGGGGAGGAAAGATGAAGAACATAATCCTAGGATCATGGACCATAACTGATCAAATTTACAAAAATACTCAACATTTTATGCTTCATCATGCAGAGTAAACACTCTTATAATGCAACTTCACACTGATTTGGTTGCAATAATGCAGATGTTTCTCACTTTATGATGATTCAACTTACAATACTTCAACTTGACGATGGTGTGACAGCGATGCACATTCAGCACTGTACATTTATTGACAAGGTGCCCCGTGGCCTGGTGGCTAAACCTCTCGCTTCACATGGCGAGGGCCTGGATTCGATTCTCAGCGAGAGTAGAAACATTGGGAGTGTCTCTTTACACCAGTCTACATTCACCCGTCAGTAAAATGGATACCTGGGAGTTAGTCAACTGGTGAGGGTCGCATCCTGGGACAAAACTGACCTAATTTGTGGGAAATACTCTGCAAAATAAGTGGCTTTCTATATACGTAGTAATATGTCATTGATGCCAGCTATGGACTGTATACCTTGTACGTGTACCTGTAGTAAATAACGATATTATTATTATTATTCATTTCTTTACTTTTCAATTCTGGTATTTAGTTACATTAATTATTTGTTTATTCAATGGCAATTGTTATTTCTTTATCTATTTATCATATAACCATATTCAACTTACAATATTTTCAAATTATGATGGGTTCATCAGAATGTAACCCCATCGTAAGTTGAGGAGCAGCTGTATGTGATCCAAAAGTGCAACCAAAAAATTGACAGTGTGGGAAAATCTGGACATTGCACACTGCAGTGTTCAGAATAGTGTTTAATGCTGATGAGTTACATTACAAGCATATACTGTCAAGAACTGACAGACAAGTAAGAGAGATTTGCATCAGGTTTCAAGGCAGCCAAAGATCATTTCACTTATTTCATTTGCCATGCATGATTCCAAGTGCATGCCTATGTTTTATCAAGAAAAGAATCTCATGTTAGGCAAAAGAACACAGATGCATCTAATGTGACATTTTATTGTGGCAACGTTTCACTCTGCAGGCACTTTTTTCAAGCCATTAACAGCTCAACAAAGCTCTTGGAGAGTGAAACGTTGCCACAGTAAAATGTCACATTAGTTGCACTTGTGTCCTTTTACCTAACATTATTACAGGGAATCTCATACCTAAAAGGTAGACAAAAACTGCTTGTCTTTTATTTGGCTAACAAAACCATACGGATGACTGAGGCTCTGTTTGTTGCATGACTTAAGCATTATTTTTTTCCTGTATTGAAGAGGTGCCTGGCTATAAAGAACCTCATGTTCAAGGTTCTCCTCAGTCTTGATAATTCCCATGTTATCCTGTGATCCTACAGCAGTCTCTGAACCCATATACAAAGATTGTACAGGAGGGCCCCGTTTTTCACAGCTGTTAGGTTCCCAATTTACAGCCCCCCTCCCGATAAGTAAAAATCACTAGCAAATGGAAAAGAGCACTTATTTTAATACTGAATGCTTATAAAACATCTGATAGCGTGTTTACACTATTAAATATTAAGTGCTCAATACAGCTAGGCATAAAAAAAACAGATACAAAAGTAAAATAAATACACAGTACATACAGTACTTACCTTAAAATACGGTGTTGGATGCCCTGAACACTGAACATAATGAACAATAACTCAATTGAAAACCATCGAAAAAAGTGGGAGATCGAAAGAGGGAGCTGAAAAACGCAGGGCCCTCTTGTACTTTTACCACTTGCTCAAGGAGTTGTTAGGAGGTTTAAGTGCCACTACACACTCAAGATAATGGAAAACTTATCACAGTAATGGAAGACAACTCTGAAACTACTGTGCCAGAATTCTGGCATAAATTTAACATTGCAGATGCCCTTATTTGCTTGTAACAGGAAAGTGAAATGTTGAAATAAATCCAGATGTACTCCTGTATATAATTAGTGGTTAATATATTTACTGCAGGAAGTCTGAACAAATGAAGAATGGGCATAATTGAAAAATGTTGCATTAGTAAAATGCCGTAAAGCAAAGCGCTGTAAAGTGATGAAGAATGAAGTTGATGCATCACCTTCACAAAGTTCCAGACCATGGAGCTGAACTCTTCTCCAGGCTGAGGGACTGACCACCTCAAGTACTATTTCTCCAAGGTTGATGAACTGATTACATCATCTTCATTTCACTACTACACCTGCTGCCTCTGTATCTGACTGAAGAAGCCTACTGTGTAGGCAAAACATTTCAACAATAATGATACTCAACTACTGCACATGTGTCTTAGTCATCAGTTACAGTAATTATCTGTTATTTACATATTCAGTAACAGTAATTATTTACAGTGGAACCCCGAATATTGGCCATAATCTGTTCCAGAAGGTCAGCCTAAATTTGAAAAGGCCTAAATTCGAAGCAATATTTCCCATAAGAATTAATGTAAATACAATTAATTAGTTCCAGACACCCAAAAATATTAACAAAAAATACATTTTTTAACCCCTTGACTGTCGCAACCCCAAAACCTGAGGTGTCTCCTGGTGTCGCAAAATTCCCCCCCCCCCCCTAAAAATTTTTTTTTTTCCTTATGAAATGATAATCTTTTCCCGATTGTAATGACACCAAAAGAACGAAATTTGATGGAAAACTGACGGAATTACGCTCTTGCGATTTCGCCCAATTTGAGCCCTATTTTCGGCTAATTCCATTGTTCCAGTCGACCAAACTCATAGCTATTTCTTTAGAACTCCATTTTTTCTATCGACTGAGTACAAGAAACTGCCCATTTACCGATTTCAACTACCCAATAACGTGGTCAGAAATTTGCAATTTGGCCAATTTCACGAAAATTAAAAAAAATGACAATTTCAAAATAGGGTCCAGAATGAACAATGCAGACATTCCTGGCTCTAAAATAACATTTTCTTTGTTCATCAGCCACGTCTCCAGGCCCCTCTGATATTACTCTTGCTTTCTATTTTGAATTTTTATTCAAACAAAATATAGAAGATTTACTGTTATGCAGATTACTGCAATATTGTAATAATTGTATAAATAACATCAACCCATTCATGACTGCATATCAGAATGGCTACTTGGACATTTATTGGAAAATGACATCATTTGTTTACTTTTGAACATCGGCAAAAATCAAACATTTCCCCTACTTTGAGCTCCATTTCAAGGTTGTTTTCATTTTTTTTATTATTTTCAACACACCGGCTGATTCCCACCAAGGCAGGGTGGCCCGAAAAAGAAAAACTTTCACCATCATTCACTCCATCACTGTCTTGCTAGAAGGGTGTTTTACACTACAGTTTTTAAACTGCAACATTAACACTCCTCCTTCAGAGTGCAGGCACTGTACTTCCCATCTCCAGGACTCAAGTCCGGCCTACCGGTTTCCCTGAATCCCTTCATAAATGTTACTTTGCTCACACTCCAACAGCACGTCAAGTATTAAAAACCATTTGTCTCCATTCACTCCTATCAAATACGCTCACGCATGCCCGCTGGAAGTCCAAGCCCCTCGCACACAAAACCTCCTTTACCCCCTCCCTCCAACCTTTCCTAGGCCGACCCCTACCCCGCCTTTCTTCCGATACAGACTGATACACTCTTGAAGTCAGTCTGTTTCGCTCCATTCTCTCTACATGTCCGAACCACCTCTGGACAACAGTTTTGGCAATCCCACACCTCCTCCTAACTTCCAAACTACGAATTCTCTGCATTATATTCACACCACACATTGACCTCAGACATGACATCTCCGCTGCCTCCAGCCTTCTCCTCACTGCAACATTCATCACCTATGCTTCACACCCATATAATAGTGTTGGTAAAACTATACTCTCATACATTCCCCTCTTTGCCTCCAAGGACAAAGTTCTTTGTCTCCACAGACTCGTAAGTGCAACGCTCACCCTTTTCCCCTCATCAATTCTATGATTCACCTCATCTTTCATAGACCCATCCGCTGACACGTCCACTCCCAAATATCTGAA